TCCATCCAGTCCTGTTACTACGGAGCATGTGGTGGACAGTATTTGCATCTTTACCTTCTTTTTTTTTTGTTCCACCTGAGGTTTCTTTTCGAGGAAGTTCTACTTTTAAACCATAAATCTCTGTGGTCTGTTTTCTGAGGCGTCCCTCCTCCTTGCAGGATATTTGTAAAAACCGAGCGAGCCAATCAGAAAGCTCTTCAGGAAACCTTAAATCTTAAGCTACAGTCGGTAGTGAACACAGCGTTCGTTGGTGTTAGCCGTGGTGCTGTGTAGTTTAACGTTTCCCAGTGTTGCGCGCACGCTGCTCGGTGAGTTCCTAACCCAGCAGGAAGCACGTGCGTCCGCCCTCGCCGCTCGTCCGGAGCCGGTCGGCGCAGAGCAGCAGGGACACCCGCGTCTTGGTTTAAAGGGGAACTTCCTTCACGTCGAGTTGGACCACAGCTGTCGAATGGCACCCTGGAGAAGCCAAAAGGGAACGTCCGTCAGGTGGATCGTACAACATGAAATCATTTTTGGTGATTTTTGTTTGAGTTAGATGAAAGAAGCTGTTTTAAAAAGGAAGAAAAAAACATTCAAAACACAAGTATGAATTTCAATAAGAGTAAAAATGATGAAAAAAGTTGAATAAAGATGCTGAAGACATTTTGTGTGTGTGTGTGTGTGTGTGTGTGTGTGTGTGTGTGTGTGTGTGTGTGTGTGTGTGTGTGTGTGTGTGTGTGTGTGTGTGTGTGTGTGTGTGTGTGTGTGTGTGTGTGTGTGTGTGTGTGTGTGTGTGTGTGTGTGTGTGTGTGTGTGTGTGTGTGTGTGTGTGTGTGTGTGTGTGTGTGTGTGTGTGTGTGTGTGTGTGTGTGTGTGTGTGTGTGTGTGTGTGTGTGTGTGTGTGTGTGTGTGTGTGTGTGTGTGTGTGTGTGTGTGTGTGTGTGTGTGTGTGTGTGTGTGTGTGTGTGTGTGTGACTGCATCCATCTAGCCTTCAGGACCGTCTCATTCTCTGGTTCTTTTACGCGTGACCTGATCACTCAGGTTGGTGACGCGGTGCGTTCTCCTGCTGAAGTAGTACTCGGGTAGGCTATGGGGTTTAACCTGGCCTCCGGTGGACCGCCAGCACCTAGAGGCTGCATTACCCTAAACCCACAGAGGAGGGCGACGGCAGCACACAGCTGCTGGATTAGAGAGACTAACCCAATCACTGCTTCTGTTTACCAAAGATCAAGCTGGTTTTAACTGGTCACAGCTGGATCAAAACTGGGGGTTTCTGTGTGTCATCTAACATTAGATGTACTTTTACGCCTTCACAGTTAAAGCGTTTACTTCAGGTAACGAATTAAACAGAACCAGCTGAGATGCAGAGGGTGACGTTAAATTCAAAAATGTTCCAGCCAGAGGTGTGTGCGTGTGAGAGATATTAGATTTTTTTTTTTACTGTTTAATTTTAATTTAACGTGTGGATGTGATAACATTTAACATACAAAACAAAAATAATCAGTAAATTATCATATAGATAGTAAAAACTTAAACCAAAACAGGAAATTGTTAACCTTTGACCTCATTTTCCACCTGAGAACAGTGAAAGGTAGAGCTAGCGGTAAGATGGATCGGTGTTTGTTGCCCACATTTCCACGGGTTCAGTCAGAAACGAATGAATGTTTGGAAGTGATCTCAGACCCACAAACACCTACGGATCTGGATGGAGAGAGTCAACCCTCAACCGCCGCAGCAGTCCAGGGTTTAGCCGCTGGAAATGCTAACGCTAACGTTAGCTAACCTTGCTACACTATAGATGGTTTTCTGTGTGGCTGTATGTGTTTATGATTTCATGGAAAAGTCAGTGATTGTTCATATGTTTATGATGTACATTAATGATTGTTTCAGGTGTTGTTGAGGTGCACGCGTGTGTATCTGCTAGAGTTGAAGGTGTTTTAGAGAACAACAGGTACGCATGACCACTTCCTTCATAGCACCCTCAATAAAAAGGCTAGCTCCTTCGTAGCACCTGCAGAAAAACATTTCTGGAGCCGCCACTGCTGGTTGGCAGCTAGCTGTTCTGTAAAAGTGTGAAACAGTTCACTTGGTTTGGGCAGCAGTAGCTCAGGAGGTTGAGCGGATTGTCCAGTAAAGGTTGCAGGTTCGATCCCGGCTCTGGACAGAGAATGCTGCTGTTGTGTCCTTGGGCAAGACACTTAACCCACCTAGCCTGCTGGTGGTGGTCGGAGGGACCTCTGGCATCTGTGCTCGACAGCCTCACCGCCATCAGTGAACCCCAGGGCAGCTGTGGCTACATTGTAGCTCATCACCATCAGTGTGTGAATGGATGAATGATGCACTGTGGTGTAATGCGCTTTGGAGTCCTCTGACTGAAAGGCACGGTAAAGGTGGGTCATTTATCATTTAGTTTGGGCGTTGCAAACGTTTTGTTTCTCATGTTTTAGTACAAAGTTTGAGTGTGTCACACTATTCTAGACCAAAATCGGCAACCCCGCCTTCTGTCATGACAAGATGTTGGTTTAAAAATCACCAGTGGGATGTGTTCCTTTGAGGAAATCGTAACAAAGATCTTGCCGCGTAGACAGTCTCACTAATGTTCTTTAATTTGATTTTATTAACTGAAGTTTTACTGCTGATGCCTCATTTTGGCTTTAAAAGTTTTCTAACTAAAAGTAATTTAGATTTTAGTTCAAGTTGATTTGAAAAAGTATTCACAAAAGTACAGTACCATTTATCCACGGGCAGCAGAGGACGTTGTCGCCCTCTGTTACGCCCTAAACGGAGTGGGAAGTGACGCCACCATCAGCGTCAGCTCTGGGGATGTTTTGCAGTCGGCAAACGAAACGTCAGCATGGTAAAGAGAAACCTTTCCTGTGTTTTAAAAAGAACCAAAAATAGAGTTAGATTACTATCAGTATTTTCTGCATTAAGTCAATATTTGTATGGAGATAAATATGGTGCAATAAGTTGTCACTGGGAAGAGTCTTTCACAGGTACAAAACAACAGCTACACCTATTCAAAATTGTAGTTACAAGAACACAAATTTCCTAGCCGGGCCTGCCAGACTCCTCTGTTTAATTCTGCACAGAGAAAGGCTCTGAGAACTCCTATTCAAATAACCCCGCCCCCTGAGAATTCTAACCGAGCCAGTCAGCACTGAGCAGCGTACGTCACACACCACAACGCCAAGTTTGGCGACTGAAGCGAAGTTCGCTGCGGCTCTTTCCTACGTTCTAAATGACTTGGACACGTCTTTAAAACAACAAGTAGAAGCGCTAAAAGCCTTTCTCCTAAAGAAAGATGTTTGCACTGTCGCCAGACGCCATTTTTGACTACAGCTAAAAAAATTACAGCATCGCGGACGTCACACACAGCGACGCTCAGTTTCTCATTAACAATGAAAACAGCGGCGGAGTTCGCTGCGGCTCTTTCCTCTGTTCTAAATGACTTAAATATCTTTAAAACCACAACAAGTAGAAGCGCTAAAAGCCGTTCTTCTAAAAATAAATAAAAGATGTTTGCCAGACGCCTTTTTTTACTACAGCTAAAAACTACAGCGTCGCGCGGTACAGTCGGCATTTCCGTCTTTTTTCTGATTGGTTATTTTGAGCTGCCTAGTCCCGCCCCTCATGTGCCTCTCTGCCTGTGAGTTACCAGACTCTCTCTCTATGCAGGATTAACTAGAGGACGAGTCTGGCAGGCCAGGCTACAAATTTCACCCCAACGCCTTTGATGTCCCTCCTTCTGGATCTTCTGTGACGTTCAGTGCTTTAGTGAGCCTCTCGGCGTACTGGGACTTTCTCCAGGGTACGATGAGCACCGGTAGTTTTCCGATCATTTATTAATCGAAATCTCAGAGATTTCTGGAAAAACCATCTGCCCGTCTCCAAGTAAATACCAGCCATCAACAGTCCCCCCAGCGCACTGTCCCACCCCTCCCGAACAGGCTCATTTTGTACATTAGGAAGCTGTACCCGTGCAGCTACGGCGGGGTCATACAGCAGAATGTCTCCAAACACTTTAGCTTGGTTTATGCGTCCGCGAGGTTCGCGCTGCGAAATTGCGGCATTTTAACAACCACGCCCCTCCACCTCCGCACGGCCCAAACTTTCCGCACCACGCACCTAGGAAATTTTCTAACCACGTGGATGGTCAGATGCGGAAAAACATGGCGGACTGGCAAGAACTAGTACGGCAGAGGTTCGTAAATACAGACATTTGTATGATTCAGCTCTCAGAGATCACCGTGATCAACATGTTGTTAATAATTCTTGGAGAGAAATAGCTCGCACTGTCGGAAAAGACGAGGACGCTGTTAAAAATGCTGGAATGCCATGTTGTAAACAAGTCATCTTTACTTCTATGGTGTAGTGTTGGATGCATGCTGTAGAGCTCCATGCTGCCCCCTACTGTTTAGGAGAATATTGGCTCACCGCAGAGACGAGCCGCATGAACCATAAACGCTGCGAGTTGTGAAGCGCGTTCCATCCGCGAGCCGCACCACCAAGCGGAAAGTAAATGCGTCAAGCAAACACCAAGCTTTAGTCAGTCTCTCGGATGCTCTTCGATCCACAGGCCCAACTGAATTCATGTGGGAAAAGACGCCTTCTCTGTGTCTGCTACATGTTAGAGGAGCACGTCTGACTACTGATGCGCTCCACCTGCTGTTGCACATTTCTGCAGACGGGCTTGTCCTGGCTACCCCCCCCCAGACACAATTCCATTGTTGAAAGAGGCTCATTTAATCTGTGCTACTAAGTTGTAAATCTAAATTATACAGTCATTTTGCAATGAAGAGGCCTCAAATCCCACCTTGAAACAAACTAATCGTCTGCCTTCAGACGTTTAAGGGTCCAGGGCTTTCTGTTAAGTGAGAACAAATGTCTCCCCAGCAGATTTGTGAGGAGAAAAAAAACAGGTGTTATTTGTGGGCTTAGAGAAGAAAGTCAGGGTTTCCCTGCTAGGGCTTGTTTTCTGGAGTTAGAACTGGTTTTCAGTATCTTTCCCAGAAGTCTTGGGATCACCAAAGGGGACTTTCATAGATGCAAAAAAAAAAAAAAAAACCAACAAAACAATTGAATGTCTTTATTTCTGATTGGGTCCTGAGGTGGAGTTGTGATAATATGGGCTTCACAAGCACAGTGGACCTGCAAGGGATTCATTTCTGTCATAAAGCGATCTTTCAAAGACGTGCCGATGCTTCGCTTCATCGTGCGTGGGACCACGTGGCTTTTCCAAGTGAAGCTTCACTACGCTTCATGTCAGCCTTGAATTCAGGGCGAGGAGGTTAATATGGTTGGTGGCAGAATTTTTTTTAAACATTAACAACTGTGAGCTTTGCAGTTTCTCTATTAATCCAAGGATTTACAAGTCCGAAGAAAACAGTCTCTCCGATTTCCGGCACGGCCGGGAGAGCCATCAAGGAAATAACTACAACTGAGCTATGAGGGAAGAAAAAGACGTCTGCAATAATCGTAGAAAGAAGCATGGGATCATAGAAGTCCTCTTCTCTGACCCATCCCAGTTCACCACCCCTGAGTCGATGCCTGCTGCTGTTTAGTATTTTCTGCTGGGACAGTCACTCTGTAACACAACTGTATAAGATGATGTCTCCAGTGACAGACACATTATCTTATATGCGATATAAAATAAATCCAGTATAAGATTTTAAAAGACAGAAACTGACAGATTTGGACAGTTTCACTGCCACATACGTACCTGTGGAGCTCCATGCTGATGCTATGTGGACGTCCGGCCAGCAGATGTCACTCATTTTACTAGATTCAAATGGTTCACAACACAGAAGCATTTCTTCATATTGAGTCATTGGTTTGGAAAGCTTCGGTTTCTCCATCACCAGTGTTGGGCAAGTTACTTCAAAGCTGTAATGCATTATTTATTACTTGTTACCCTCATTTTAAAGTAATTGATTACATTACAATATTACTGATTTTAAAATGTAAGGCATTACACTACTTTTGCATTACTCTAAGTTACTTTCACCAGAACAACTTCAATATGAATCTGGTAATCTGACGCTCAGTGAGCTCATGACATATATGTGGAAGGTGATGTGGTGTCTGAGCTAGGATTGCTGTTAAAAACAGTCAGATATAATAACAGTGCTTTAAAATGATTGTTTATTAAATAAAAGCAACAACAATCTGTACTCTCAGCACGCTGCCATCTTAGATTAACTGAGCAGGGAGTGAGGTGGTGGGGGCTCCAAGCCTATATTTGCCTTCGTCCTCAAATGCCTTGATACGGCCCTGGATGTGGGACTGACTTCTGGGGTGATCTGATTCTATCACATGTATAAATATTAAATGCTTATATATGATTGCTTTTCACTGGTAAAAATGTGTATTGGGGATAAATCTACCTACTTTTTTCTTTTCAAGCACTTTGTTTTGTTTTCTTGATTTTATTTGAATAATATCCGGCCCTTTCTCTCTCTAACCTTCCTGCATGCTGCATGTTTTCTCCGTCTTCCAGAAAAACTGTTTCCTAGACTTCCTACTTTCTAACGATCAGCCAAAGGGATCTTCATATGCGCGGCGCTCCAGCAGTAATGAGTTGAAATCACCGGGACACAGATTATGAACTCAGCTGAGGCAAAGCACGTCAGAAAAGCACAAAATACCAGATAATATGCGCTGATATGAACGATCGCAAGTGAATTATTTTGTTTTAGTGGAGCGATTTGGTGACTGTTACAGCGGCCGCATGCAGGACGCAGCTGGAGTAGTTGAGCCGTTGACTGTTGTAAACGCGCAATGAAATTTTCGCGGCGGATAAGATGCGGCTGGCTTGACTGCGGCTCACAGATGACGGGTCACTTGACCGCGGTCCGTTACCGCTGCGTCCTCTCTGCCCGCAAAGCTGAGTCCATAAATGACGTAATATATGCAGATACTGGATCTTTCTTCGGGTTTCACGCAATTTGAATTTTTAAGGAACACATCTTGATTCTGGGTTTAAAAATGCATTGTAATTACCGCGTTACTGACAATTGTACCGAGTAAATATTACCATTTTCTTTCCCTGTAATGCCTTACATTACCACATTACAGCAAAAAGCAATGCATTACAGTAATTAATTACTTTTGTACCGCATTACTCCCAACACTGTCCATCACTATCATGAAGTTGTTTGTTGTAGCAGGACCCAAAATGCAGGAATATCCAGGAGGCCGCCAGGCAGGTTCCAAAATCTAGAAGGTTTTATTTTAAGGCTGTGGTGTGGAGGACCATGAGCGGAGGACTGGACTGGGTCTTTATAGAGAGGAGGTGGCGAGGAAACATGGACCAGATGTGGTGATAAATGATCTGCTACAATTGAGAGTACATAAGAGACGGAGACTGAACACAGATGTCGCTGGAATAAGAGGACAACCGGCATGAGGACCGGGTGGGGAGGGGGTATCTTTACAGTATGCTCTGATGGTAAACAGGTTTCAACACAAACGGTTGTTTTCCGCTTGGTCCTACAGCTCAACCAGTGTCTATTTAATATAGAGTAATGTTGCTTTTGGATGGTAAAAAGTGCAGGGGTCAAAACTTAACTTTGGAAAAGGGGGGGCATCCCCCCCCCAAAAAAAAATATTAGGTCCATGTACGTAGGGATGTTCCGAATGATCGGCCATCGATCAAGATCGGCCAATTTCCGTGAAATACGCTTGATCAGCCGATTTCCGATCTACTCCTTTAAGAGCCCACCTACCAATCACACGTGACTGCAGTCGACAGAGACCCTGAGTGTAGCGGCAGCGTCGTCTCCCTCACCCTCATGCACGTAGCAGCAAAAGTCTTACTTCTACTCCGTGAGCGTGATGTAAAGAGGCGAGGGAAGCTCGTTAAAATGCGTCTTTTATTCAGACTAGTCAGCAGTAACCCACTGCTTACGACATGTCCACTTATCCACAGAACCGTTCAGAAGAGAGAGGCTTTCTCTAGCCTAGCATAACAGCCGCTAACCAGAACCAGGAACAACTCTTTCCACCCGCAGAACTGCCCTCCAAAATCAAGCTAACACACAACATTACTCCCGTGTTATTACCTCTTTAAACTGTTAAAATAAAAGTAACCGGGACATCCCGGTCAGGTTGTTTTTGCCTCCGAGTCATTTGGTTTAGAGAATCTGCCGATACCGAGTCCCGATCCGATCCTTTTGATACATAAAAAAAAAGAATAAAGAAAAGGGAGAAACAGATCCAGAATGTTCTTTATTTTTCTTTTAACTTTATTTTAACATTTAGCAACTGTTAACAAACGGATCACTTCTGCGAGATAATCAAGTAATAAATAACAAACTCTTCACTTTTAGACTTTATTGCAAATATAAAAAAGACTAATATAAAAACAAATAGCAGCTCAAATTTAAATACCTGGCAGGGGTCTATTTTGCCTCGGGCCCCAAAATGCCTTGATACGGCCCTGGGCGTGTGACTGAGTTTTGAAGGAGACCTGAATTGTATCAAATAAATAAATATTACATGCAGATAAATTATCGCTTTATGAAGGTAAAAACGGGGATAAAACTCCGTACATTTTATTTTTCAAGAACTTTGTTTTGTTTTCTTGGTTTTTATTTTCCTATTTTTCTTTTCGTGTCCGTCTCTGATCTGCAGCTGTCTGGAGCGATTTAGTAATCCGTGCTGCCGCTCTCTGCATCCCGCTCAAAAGAATGTAATTTGGACCCTGTTTCCGAGTCCAGATCGGGACGTAAAGCCGAAACCATGTGATCGGATCGGGAAATCCCTAAAAAAACAACATTAATAATAATAATGTTAATGATAATAAATCTAACAACACACAAAGTTGTGAGTATTTTTTAGAGGTTATAGTGTTTTAAATCTGTTAGATTGTTACTGACAGCTGCTACATTTTAGTGTTTTAGGTTTCTGAGTCACTGATGCTTCGTGCTTCAGTGTGTAAATTATCATTCATCATGGACATGATCTTCTCAAAAGATTTATTTGAAAACACCCGGACTTTTCTGGTTTTCTTGAAGATACTTTGCCTCTCATCCAAGATCTCGTCTTCAGCTATGAACCCTGGCCTAGAAGTTGTGGTCAGAAACAAGCACACCGATGGTGCTGCAAGTCTTTTTCTCTTTAAAAAGTAAAAACACATTTTTGTCTAAATTAATACGTGTTAGTTTAGGTACTGTTTCTGTTCCTTTGTTCCCAGATCATAGTCCGTAGCACTCATTATAGCTTCATGGAAAATGTATGAGCAGTAAAGCTGGTCGGTGTGGATGATCAGCAGCAGAAACCCTGATTGGAGCATCTCTAGTTGTGTTTATCGAACCTTTATCAAAACAGCTGAAGTTCAAGAATAAGAAAGATGGCTGGGATCTCCCTTAGAGACAGGGTGAGAAGCTTGGTCATCTGGGAGGGGCTCGGAGTAGATCCGCTGCTCCTCCTCATCGAGAGGAGCCAGTTGAGGTGGCTTGGGCATCTGGTCAGGATGCCTCCAGGACGCCTCCCTGGTGAGGTTTTCCGGGCACGTCCAACCGGAAGGAGCCCTCTGCCCCGGCGGCGGTGGTCGGCTGTGGCAGCCTGGGCGCTTTCCATGTGTGCCTGGGTGGTGGTGGGGGTCTCTGCCCTCCCTGCCCTGGGCGCCCGGTGTCGGTGCCTCAGCTGCTGCTGTGGATCTGCTGCTGTCAGGGCGGATGGCTCCCCTGATGGTGTTTCCTTATCCTTGTCTTAGCTGGTCTGGCTCATCTTAGCTCAGCCAATCATGTTTTTTTACCATGGGGAAGGGGGCGTGTATGTGTGTGTGTGTGTGTGTGTGCGTGCGTGCGTGTGTGTCCGTGGAGGAGTGTTGTGTGAAGGGGTTTTTATTGTCAGACTGTTTTTAAAATTCTGGGGATGGGAGGGATGGGTATGTGGGGCCTTTTTAATTTGTTAAGCACTTTGAGTTGCATGTATTGTAGGATTAAGTGCTATATAAATAAAGTTGATTCATTGATTGATTGATTGATTAAAGGTAGACCCAGGACACGGTGGAGGGACTATGTCTCTCACCTGTCCGGGGAACGCCTTGGGATTCCCCCGGAGGAGCTGGCCCAAGTGGCTGGGGAGAGGGAAGTCTGGGCTTCTCGACTTAGGCTGTTGCCCCCGCGACCCGACTCCGGAGAAGCGGATGAAAATGGATGGATGGATGATGGATGGATGGATGATGGATGGATGGATGGGTTGAGCTTCGTGGACTTTTATCTACATGTGTGCATCAAGCATCTACAGGATCCACTCAGAAGTAATAAAACTGTTGAAGGTAACAGAAGTGGACCGTGCTGCATGTGGTTTGGATCAATAGAGCTGCTATCTTGGGAAGTTCTCATTCAGGCTTCTGTTGACATTTTGGGCTATTTAAAGAACCAACAGGGAAACGTGTATGTGTGTGTGTGTGTGCACTCATGCTTGTGTGTCCCATGTACTGGGTGTGTTTCCGTCGCTCGAGGACTTCCAGGGACCCAGAGATAAAGTGAGTCACCCAGGGGTTCCTTCCTGTCACCTGACTCCATCACTTCCTGCTTCGAGTTTCCTGCGTTTGAGCGAAGAAGAAGGGTGGCACCGATGGCTTCAATCAGGCTTGATGACAAATGGGATAGAGATGATTTATTAAGACAAGCACACTCTAAAGATTGTGAAAATATCAGAAGGACTGAGCCAATAAATCTTGTCCTTCAGGAGTGGCAAAAGACGGATGGAACGAACAATAAAGGAGGCAATAAGGAGGGAACAGAGAGAGAGAGAGAGAGAGAGAGAGATGGTGGCAGGATCTCTATGGGGCCCCTTGGTTTTTGGTCAACAAAGAGACGTGCCAGGTAATGGCTTCCAGACTCTCACACACACACACACGTACAGCTAATTTGATTTGGAAATCTGACAGGACAAAGAGACTGAGTGTACTCGAACATGTGTGTGTGTGTGTGTGTCAGCTTTGGGGGTTAATGCTTGCTTTCAGTCACAGCTCTACTGGGGAGAAATCGGATCCCTGCAGAGCCAGACCACAAGCTCTAACAAAAACACGCGGAAACAAAAATCAGAAGAGACCTTTCTGAGCTCTTTGTCAAATGAAACAATCCGAGTTGGGTTTTTTCTCTCTCTCCCTCTTTTAGAGTTGTGTGGAGTAGTCGTTACCATCTCAGCAGCGATACACAACAATCAACATGATCTCCGTTTGGAGAATCAAGAAGAAAGTCAGTCAGGCTTTCTGGAGACTTTAGTCTGGTTTAAACTTCTGCAACTTTTTACAAGTTCCACTACTCTTTTACATTTCTGTACTTTCTCATCAGACAGATGCTTACAGACATCTGTTCAGTGTGGTGACTCTTTAAACAAGCTTTAAAACGTTGTGAGATGTTCTGCTACTCAGGAGTGCATCATACATACAGGTGTATGAAGGTCTAGAGCTCTAGTCTCCCAGTAGAAGTTACTGTAGTGGTATAGATCAGCCAGGTGTGATAATCTCTGCAATAGGACTTAAAACAGGATATTTTAGCTCAAATCGTGTCTCAATCTGAAGGCGTTTCTAAACATTTAGTTTTAAACGTAGGAAGGTAAGGAGTTAGCCATCCATCCATTATCGTCCGATCAGGTCACGGGGGCAGCAGCCTAAGCAGGGAGGTCCAGACTTCCCTCTCCCCAGCTACTTGGGCCGGCTCCTCCGGGGGAATCCCAAGGTGTTCCCTGGCCAGCCTGAAGCATAGTCCCTCCAGCGTGTCCTGGGTCTTCTTCTAGGTCTCCTCCCGGTTGGACGTGCCCGGAAAACCTCACCAGGGAGGTGTCCAGGAGGCGTCTTAGCCAGATGCCAGAGCCATCTCAACTGGCTCCTCTCGATGTGGAGGAGCAGCGGATCTACTCCGAGCCCCTCCCGGATGGCTGAGCTCCTCACCCTATCGCAAAGGGAGAGCCCGGCCATCCTGCGGAGAAAACTAATTTCGGCCGCTTGTATCCGCGATCTCGTTCTTTCGGTCATTACCCAAAGCTCATGACCATAGGTGAGGGTAGGAACGTAGATCGGCCGCTAAATCGAGATCTTCACCTTCTGGATCAGCTCTCTCTTCACCACGACAGACCGGTACAACACCCGCATCGCTGCAGATGCAGCACTAATCCGCCTATCGATCTCACGCTCCAGCTTTCCCTCACTCGTGAACAAGACCCTGAGATACTTAAACTCCTCCACTTGGGGAAGGACCTCACCCCTGACCCGAAGAAGGCATTCTACCCTTTTCTGAATTAAGACCATGGTCTCAGATTTAGAGGAGCTGATTCACACTCGGCTGCGAACCGCTCCAGTGAAAGCTGAAGATCACGTTCTGATGAAGCCAACAGGACCACATCATCTGCAAAAGCAGAGACCTGATCCTCAGGCCACCAAAACAGATTTCCACCTTGGCTGCACTTAGAAATCCTGTCCATAAAGGTTGTGAACAGAATCGGTGACAAAGGGCAGCCTTGGCGGAGTCCAACTCTCACTGGGAACGAGCCCGACTTACTGCCGGCAATGCGGACCTGAGCTCCTAACAGCCCGTATCAGAGGGCCTGGTACCCCATACTCCCAGAGTACCCCCCACAGGGCCCCCCATCCAGCCTGGTTGAACACCTTCTCAAAATCCACAAAACACGTAGATCGGTGGGGCGAACCCCACTTCCAGGACGCCCCCAATGGGTATTGAGCTGGTCCAGTGTTCCACGGCCAGGAATCTACCTGAGCTAAACCGCCAGGTACTACAAAACATAAATATAAGAGATGTTGTCCAACACGACAGGGGTGGAGTCCCTACTGATGACAGAATATGCTTTTTCTGGATTTTCCCACACAAGTGAAACCGCTGCAGGACGCTTTGTGGTCATCTGCTCTTTTTGCTTTCAGGTAAGACGCCGACTAATCATGACTCCAAAGATCCAAACGATCCACCCGATTAGGTCGGAAACGGACAGAACAAGTTCAGAAAACCATTTCAGCAGTTTGACAGTAAATACGAGCCGTTTCTGGACTGAGTAGATGCACTGAGACGTCGCTGCAAGAATCATATTCAAGGGAAATATTTTTGGTTTCCAACGAGAACCACGTTTCACTTTTCTCCACGAGTCTCTTCGCTCAGATGAAACTAAAAAGAAGCTTCGCAGTGACGCTCATCGCTCATGTTTGGCTGAGCACACCTGGCTGCTTCCTGCTTTTGTCTGAGAAGGTTCGACGGGAAGTTGAGGGCCCAGAAAAAAGAAGTGAAGTGAAAAGTAAAAACGATGAAGACAGGAAGAGCTAATTAGGCGAAGGATGAGCAGGAGGAAAGCGAGAGGACACAGTGAGTCAATCAGGATGCAGCTCCAACTCACTCCACCCTCCGACTTACTTCATCCCGGTGAGGTAAATCCCCCAGCACCCCCCCCCCTTGTGACGTCATAGCCCTCCCACTCCTGCTTCATGTGTCACAGCTTCTCCCTCTGACATTCGTTTGCAGCGGAGAGACGGAGCTGCAAATCCGAATCTGAGCTCCTCTGGGACAAAAAACCATCAAGATCAGGAAGAAAGTTTCCAGCTAAAACTTTCCACTTTCTAGTTTTGGACCATTTACTTCTCCAAAAGTAGGGAAGCGCCAAGTTTTTCAAGAGCTTTTCAGAAAAGCATCCTCCACTATCCTGCAGCAGTTTCCCCCTGTCCTCCTTTCATCCATCTTTCTTCCTCAGACGCTGATTCTAAGTCTGGAAAACTCTACAGTTTGGGAATACTCCTGTCATCCAGCTACAGTCGGTGTGGAACATTCAAAGCGGTGAGCGATCTCTTAAATATACAACCGTTTTGATGATTTGCGCCGTTGGTCATGCAGAAACTGAATGTTGTTGGTTGTTTGGTAAAAGTTTATTCCATTAATGTAAACATGGATCCCAATGGGAACGCCGTCCGTTTAGGTGCCTACTCTGCTGACCTGCTGCAGGTTTCAGGCTCATGTCAGAGAAAGTGAAGCGTGGAAAAGGCTCAGGGTCATACGTCAGTCACAGCACGTTAAATCTGAGCAGATGATGAGCGATGAGAAGGAACGCGTACGGAGGGGCTTCCTGGTTTCAGCCTCTCTCTGGTTTGATCATCACTTCAGGAGGAAAAATGATACTTGGTGTGACACGTTTAAATAAATGCATGCAGCTGCTGCAGAGACAAATGCTAAAGTAACTCTTGGGCTTATTGTTTGCATATGTGAACCTTGTCCTGTAAGAAGGGAGAGATTCCACAACTCCATGAGTATTTTAAATGCATGAAGTCTTCTACTCTAACTGTGTGAGGTCAGAGTGTCCCTTTCCTGGGGCCTTATCCCCATTTTCCTAATGAAATAAAACACTGTTACTCAAATCTGTGCTTCTCTGGGTGTGTAATTCCTTCTTAATTATGAAAGCACGCATCAAATATGTAAAATACTCAAAAAGCACCCACAGCAACATCACCCTTGTGATCATTTCAACAGAAATCTTCATTTTTCACCTGCAAAACGTTAAGCGTTGTAAAAAATTACCAAAAGAAATGTTAAAGTTGCGCCCAGTGTCTCATTAAGGTCTCCGTGGTAACCACTCCTTTGCCTCTTGACTCCCTGACAGAAGAATGCTTAAGAATGTCGTGTAAAGTCCAACTGTGGTTTAAACTCTGAATGATGTTCCTATCGTGATGTCTACCTGAGATCTAGGGCACCAAAAAGGGGCGGAGCATTCTCACCTGTTTCTCTGTAATCCCATTAGTGTCTATGGGGAGCTTTCTTGTGGCTTTTTGTGAGTTAATGTCTACGGGGTACGACCATCCCTGATGAAATAACAGACTTTGATTTGTAATTTGCACGTTTTTAATAAAGTTAAAATAGACAAAATACCAGTAATGGTTGATCCAATATTTGGTGGATGCAAAATAAGGAAGTCTTGACCGTTGTCATTAAAAATGCTCTCAACAACGTGTTCCATAATTAGGAAAGATGAGGGAATTTATACAACTTTGGGTAAAAAATTCATTTCAAATGATTATTTCCATAGCCTGACAAGCATATATATGCGAATATATGGTCTGGCCACGGCCAGTGACGCTCACGTGTGTGGGGCGGGATCTACGACTGTCTATCAAACTGTCTCAGCATGCCATTGGATAACAAACACTCACCACTACAGATGTCAGTCAACAGGGCAGTCCGCCCTGCTCCATCAAAGAAAACGCATGTTCTAAATAAATCTTGAGCCACAGAAAAGCCCAAGTTTAAACAGTTCAAGGTTGAAGCTTTAGCCATTTCAAACAAGTGATTTGATTGGCCCACCAAACCAATAGAGTGCTGCCATTGGATCGCTACGGAGCCGCCACCATCTTAGCACAAACATCCCGCCCACCTGACCGATGGAGCGCTATGCTTGCACCGCTACGGATAACGGGGCAGTCCGCCATATATTTCTAATAGCTGTGGAGGTTCCATCGCTAGTCCGGCATGCAACGCTTAATTATTTTGCTTCGGCAGATGAGGATCTAGATTCTAGGCTGTTATTTCCAAATTTGTCGTTAGAAAAAAAAACACCACAACTAATCAGAATCAGAAAGCTTTTGTCGTTATTGTACACTGTTGGTGCATTTGACACAACAGAAATGCACATGTGTCAATCTTTCAGGGGTCCAGTGATGCGTCTGAGACAGCAGTTTTTAATGTTAGAGCTGGATGTTTGTGTTCAGCATCAAGTACCATGAACTACCTGCATCATCTCCTTGTGTTGCTCTGTAGACCCTGGCTCCTGTAAAGATGGCTGACGAGGTGCAGCCTGACTCCAATAACCTGCAGATACCAGGTAATTGCCCCCACCTCACACACACACACACACACACACACACACACACACATGCATGCATACAGACAGAAATGTTTGCATTGCTACACCCTTAAAAATGTCCCCAAAATGTGGTGCAAAGTGCACACACACACACATGCATACACACCCACAGCTTTCTATGGCAGCCTGGTCTCTCCAGCTCCTTATCTTTTCGAGTGAGGACAAGCTGCTGACCTTTCAGCGTCCCTCTCCCACTTGGGAATATTACTCACTCCAGATTCCAGTGACATTCCACTCATTCCTGTTTATAACAATTATCCAGGTCAAGTGTGTTTCTTTAGTCCCAAACCAATCTCAGCAGACTTTCTTCTGAATCAGCCGCCGACCACAGAACACGACGGCTCCTTTCCTCGAGATAATAAAAAATCTGGTGTTTCTATTTATTCCGGAGTGTGGCTTTATTTTTAATCCCTCGTTGCGTTCCTTCCAGGCGAAGCCGTCTCCACGCCGTCGTCTCCAGCCACAGCCAGGAGTGATTGCGGGATCACACCGCTCACACCCTCGGCCTCACCGGTAACAATCAGCGTCTCACGCCACAGCCACTCCCTCGTGCCGCTTCCGCTCTCCGCTCACGTAGCTGTAAATAGAGCCTCTGGCTGTTATTAGTGGTTTATATTACGACTTAAACACACAGAGGACAGTAAGGAATAGTTTTAAACTACAACCAAAACAAGCAATAAGGTCTGAGAGCAGCACACAGTTGGCGCTAATCAAGCTAACTGGCAAAGTTTTTCTAATCAAGCTAACTGGCTAAGTTTTTCTAATCAAGCTAACTGGCTAAGTTTTTTTCTAATTAAGCAAACAGGCTAAGTTTTTTCTAATCAAGCTAACTGGCTAAGTTTTTCTAATTAAGCTAACTGGCTAAGTTTTTCTAATCAAGCTAACTGGCTAAGTTTTTTCTAATTAAGCTAACTGGCTAAGTTTTTCTAATCAAGCTAACTGGCTAAGTTTTTCTAATCAAGCTAACTGGCTAATTTTTTTCTAATCAAGCTAATTGGCTAAGTTTTTCTAATCAAGCTAACTGGCTAAGTTTTTCTAATCAAGCTAACTGGCTAATTTTTTTCTAATCAAGCTAACTGGCTAAGTTTTTCTAATTAAGCTAACTGGCTAAGTTTTTCTAATCAAGCTAACTGGCTAAGTTTTTCTAATTAAGCTAACTGGCTACGTTTTTCTAATCAAGCTAACTGGCTAAGTTTTTTCTAACCAAGCTAACTGGCTTTTTTTTTTAAATCAAACTAACAGGCTAAGTTTTTCATTACAAAACCTGATGAAAGAAAACCAAATCTGTACTTCTGGCACATAAACACCAACTTTCTGACAGAGGGTGGAGGTCAGACCCAGAATGGCTTGTCCATTCTCTGTTGTCGTGGCGATAGACTTCGGGACAACCTCCAGCGGCTACGCTTTCAGCTTCACCCAGGACTCAGAGGCCATACACATGATGAAGTAAGGTCCTTTCTTCTTTTAATGAAGGTTCTGTTGTTTTCCGTACCCCACCGTGTTTTCCGCTCCACTCCGTGCAGACGCTGGGAAGGCGGCGACCCCGGAGTGGCCAACCAGAAGAGCCCGACGTGCCTGTTGCTGACTCCTGATTTACGGTTCCACAGCTTTGGGTTTTCAGCGCGAGACTTCTACCACGACCTAGACCCGGAGGAGGCCCAGCACTGGCTCTACTTTGATAAATTCAAAATGAAGATCCACAGCACAAGTGTAAGAGACGTGTGGGAAAACGAAAGGCTGGAGGAGAACGGCTGTGGGGTCACGTTTAGGTTCCTGCACAACCAAAACAAAAGCTGCATCCACATTCGTGGAGCAGAATCAGCGCAGAGCAGGTTGGACTCCGCCGGTGTCCCTTGTCTCTGATCTTAGATGGGCTTTGAAGGTGTAGTCATGGAGAGGAGGCGGTCTGCGTTAGGAACCTTCAGGAATTGCCACAGATGTGGTTCTGTTGAGGTCGTCAACCCAGGATGTGCTGGCCAGGATGAGAGACGTTTACCGTGCCAGATCCTCTCTGAGAGCAGAAAGCAGGGTCGCCTATGGAGGGTCTGGCCTCATCCTTAGAGATAAGTTCAGGAGGTCTGACGGAGGATGATGGAGCTTCACGGGTACATCCCAGTGGAAGAGGACCTCAGGGCAGATTCAGAATGTTATAGATGGAATATTTATCCAATCTGGCCGGGGAAGTTCCTTGTGATGTCCCAGGAGGAGCTGCAGAGTATCACAGGGGAGAGAACTTCCTGTTGGTCTCATCTTTATGGCCCCACCTTGGTTAAGCTGAAGGACAAAAGTTTATTGTAGGAAAGTTTCAAAAGTTGCAACTGTAAGGCCCACCGGTGCACAGTCCTACTGCCTTCTCCGTGATCTTGAACATGGCTGCATGTTAGTTTGTAAACAGGTTCCTCCAAGTCCTTGTCTTTGCTGCAGGACCTCACGATGGAGACAGAGCTGGAGGCGGTTAACGGCCGGAAGGTCAGGGCCATTGAGGTGTTTGCACACGCACTCCGTTTCTTCAGAGAGCATGCTCTCAAGGTGAGGCATCAACGATCCACCGATGTGTCGCAGACCAAGGCACCGAGGTGACTCCAGGTTCTCTTTGCAGGAGGTGAAGGACCAGTCCTCATCGGTTTTGGAGGGGGAGGAGGTGAGATGGGTGATTACCGTTCCTGCTGTGTGGAGACAACCGGCCAAGCAGTTCATGAGAGAGGCCGCATACCTGGTAGGGACTTTACATCCAGGACCAGAGGCCACACCACGACTCCTACAGGTCCTCAGCGCCAGCAGAGCTACTCCTCACATTAAAGAAAATATTGCTTCTGTGTGGGAAGTCTCCCTGAAGCTAATTATCCAAACCGTGAGGTCTTAACAAAAATACTGATGGACGCACGCTCCTCACCCTGAAGCGTTTATGTGAGGAATTGCTTCAAAGCCAGTTTGCGTCTGGAAAATAAAAAAGAACGTGAAGAAGGAAAGAAAGACACAATATAAAGCATGAGATAAACACTGAATCGCTTTCCCACGGAGGATCTCACACACACACACGCACACGCACGCACACGCACAGTGTGTGCACGCACACACACACACACACACACACACACGCACGTACACACACACGCACGTACACACACACGCACGCGCACATACACACGCACGCGCACACACGCACGTACACACACGCACGTACACAGTCGCACGCACGCACACACGCACGCACGCACACACACACTCACGTACTACACACACACACACACGCGCGCGCACACACACGCACGCACGCACGCGCACACACAGGCGCACACACACGCACGCACACACACACACGTGCGCGCGCACACACACACAGGCGCACACACGCACGCCGACACACATGCACGCACATGCACACACACATACGCGCGCACATGTGCACACGCGCACGCGTGCACACACGCATGCACGCACAAGCACACACACACGCACACACACATGCACGCACAAGCACCCACACATGCACACACACGCACAAGAACACACACACGCAGGCACGCATGCACGCGCGTGCGCACACACACACATATTATAAAAGGAACACTTTGACTTGCTTCTGTTGGTACGCCTTCCCACCAGAACACACACCCTCTTTTGTGCGACTTGTTGAAAGTGTGTGTGTGTGTGTGTGTGTGTGTGTGTGTGTGTGTGTGTGTGTGTGTGTGCGTGCGTGTGTGTGTGTGTGTGTGCGTGTGTGTGTGTGTGTGTGTGTGTGTGTGTGTGTGTGTGTGTGTATGCATGTTGCTACGAGTGTGTGTCTGATTCTGCAGGACGTGTGGAGAAATCCTTCATCACTTCCTGTCTCATTTCCTCAAACACACACGCAAATTACTCTTTTGCTAAACATTTTCTGCCGTCTGACTCTCACTCAGCAGGGTAGGTACATGAAATGTCACATGCACACGCACTTTCTCATGCAGTTTGATAAAACACTCACACACACACACACACACAGTGCTGGCTCCTAGCTTGAGGCTGTTGGGGCGTGTGCACTTCCTGCTGGTGATGATGTCATTAGGATTTTAACAATAAGGGAGACCGGTGTACAAACACAGGAAGTAGAGAGCAGACCCCCGCCCTGCACACACACACACACACACACACACACACACACACACACACACACACACACACACACACACACACACACACACACATCTCTGCTCCTATACGTGGCCTCCTCCTTTAAATCTGTCATCCCGACTCTTTAACTCTTGTTTTAATCTTTCAGCCATGTTTGTGTTTTCTAAAACCTTCTCACTGCACAGCTGTTCTCCACGGGGGGCGGGTCTTACTCCTCCAACATCTTCCCTCCATCACTAGGTCGTCACGAACCTCATCACTTTGATTTGTTGACTTCATGACTTAGAATTCCTGATAAAGACGAAAAAGGGACAGCATTCCTTTTATTCCAACGTTTTTGCATCTACAAACCAGGAAATGTAAAATGTCGTACGCACCACAAGATCCCCAAAAAAAACTTAAAACGGTTAACGTTATCTTATTTATTTGCATTTGAATTTGTCCCTTAAATGTGAAATAATTCAAATAAAGAAATAAAGTTTTTAAACTGAACAAGTTACGTATACAACAATTACACAATTCCCCGATTTCTTCTACTACGTAAAAAGATAAAATAAAATTGGCCCTCGCCACCTGTAGATCCTCCACCAGAGGGCAGCAGACACGTGCAGGACTGATGAGGCAGGTTTATGATGAAGGTACTAATCCTGATGCTCCATCTGGACGCTTTAAGGTCGGTTATGGTTTGGAGAGAATCTGCAGCTGTGGTCTACGAGGCGTTAGATGCATGACCCAACGTCAGGTTTTCTCATCAGTCTAGTTTAATTTAATCTGTTTCTCAACAAGAAGCCATCAAAATGTTTCAAACACGATTACAAATGTGTACATTTCTTTCTGGAATTAACATCTTAACTTTTCATATGTTTCACAGCTACTGATGCTTTCTTGGTAAATCCCGTGACCTTTGACCCCACTGATCTCTCTGTGCTACACCTTTAACGTCCCATCAGTCCGACAGACCCTCCACTAAGAGAAGAATTCCTCATACGTTTATCCAAATGTGACTTTGTTACCTTTGATAACAGAACGTTTACCAAAACTACAGCAAATAGTAAAATGATTATTTTATTTGGTTTTATTCAAACATTAAATCAAAGTCCAACATTTGTTCTATTTGTACTAAATACGACTTTTAATAACAATCACCCATTGGCCTGAAACACTGAAAACTGTTTTTGGTTCACCAAATGAGAAACGTCCTGGTGTCGGAGTGTTTGTGAACGTCTGTGAAGGTTCTCAGTCATCCAGGTCATTGTAGTCTAATGAGCTTTGAAAGAAAAGCGTATGGACTTCTTTGAGTTGCTTGAAGACGTTTCACCTCTCATCCGAGAGGCTTTTTCAGTTCTAACCCCGGGTTTCCACGGGAGCCGTCAGCAGCACGTTACTGCAGCAGCACGTCTTGCTCGCGTAAGCTGCTGCTTGGCCCTTCCCACGAGACGCGAAGCAGCAGGGGAGCAGCTGTCACCGACCGAGCACGAAGTCACACGAGTGACTTCGTCAGTAAACACAACAACAAGCAGGAGAAAACTACAACATGGTTTGTGTTTTATGTTCTGTCCGTTTTATAATCGCCAATACGGACCTGAAAAACAAAGGAGACCGCTAGCTAGGTGATAACTTCTCACGGGGACGCACAGTTAGTAACATTTTTTAAAAGTAAAGCAACTGGAAGGCAGTACGTTCTTTATTCTGAAAATCTCGGGAGCTTCTCTCCATTTCCGCGTCCGATTTCCTGTCTTTCCTTCCCCAAAAATGTCGAACTTGACCCGTTTCAGAGGCATCGCGCGTAGAAAATAGAACCGCCGTGTAAAGGCCGCGACATGCTGCTCCTGAGACGCGGCCGACTCGCGCTGCCGACGGCTCCAGTGGAAAAGGTTCTGTTGACCACAGCGGTTCCTATCAGCAGCTATGACGTGCTGCTGCAGTAACGTGCTGCTGACGGCTCCCGTGGAAAAGGTTCTGTTGACCACAGCGGTTCCTATCAGCAGCTATGACGTGCTGCTGCAGTAACGTGCTGCTGACGGCTCCCGTGGAAAGCCGGGGTAAGGTCAAATGGTGGAGAGTCCCAGATTTAAACCCAGTGGGAGTTTCCCCCCCAATGTGTTTATGTAGAAGATCATCAGGGGGCCTTTTGTTCCCTCTTCGGGGGGAAACTCCCACTGGGTTTAAATCTGGGACTCTCCACCATTTGACCTTAGGACTGAAGAAGCCTCTTGGATGAGAGGTGAAACGTCTTCAAGCAACTCAAAGAAGTCCAGACGCTTTTCTTTCAAAGCTCATTAGTGTTTATGAACATTTGCCTCCAGATTGGTTTCGTTCAGATTTTCTCTCTCAGGTTCTTATTGGATGTTCCCGCTGTGTTCCTCAGGCAGGTCTGGTGTCTCCTGACTGTCCTGAGCAGCTCCTCATTGCTCTGGAGCCGGAAGCTGCATCCATTTATTGCCGGAAGCTCCGCCTCCACCAGGTGATTGACCTGAGCATGCAGCCAATCACCAACGGCCTGGATCTGGACGGATCCCGGCCCTTCGACTCCAGCTTCAGACAAG